ACATGAAAATTATACAAAGTAATTATTTTAAAAAAATAAAATTATATTATTAAATAAGAAAATAAGAATGAAATAAAAATAATAATATAATATTAAGGAGAGAAAAAGGATTCATTTTTAGAGTAAAATAGAGAATTGAGTTGGAGATGAATGCCTGAAAAAATAGAGAACTCTATATTTGAAGAGTAAAATAGAGAATAAGGTTGGAGATGCCCTAAAAGCAACATAACAAAAGAGAGATTTCCAAAATAGTTTCTTATTTTTGAGTTAAGACTCAAAGTGTTCTCTTTTCAATACATAGCATTAATGAACTCTCATTATTGTGATATTGATGCATTTTTAATTAGAGTTAGGCATGGTATGGTATATATCGAATCCTCATATTATATCAAATTTTTTTATATCGTGATTTTGGTATGATATATGATATACATTTTAATTTTTTTTGTTATTCGGTATGATATTTGGTATATAAAGGTGACATACCGAAATATTGAATATCATACCAAAGTGTGTGTATATATATATATATATATATATATATATATATTATTAAGAAGATACTAACAAATATGCAACATAGTATTAGTATAAAGTATAAACTAAATGTTTCAAAGTTGAAGCCGTGACTACTCTATTTTTTATTGAAATTTATTTTAAACGTAATTAATTAACAAAAGGAGCTGTTTATACTTATTTTTCTAACATATATTTTTATATGTGTAATGTGTTAGTATGATACAATTGAAATATTTTTTGAATTGTCAAAGTCATAATATTTTATTATACGAGTATATATTAGTCGAAATTGAACAAACTATATTACCGATTTACCATACCGCTAAATATCGAAACCGAACTTAAAAATATCGAATAATTTGGTATGGTAATAATATAATAATTTTAAAAATTAAATATCAAAATTACGAGGATAACAAAGTTTTAAACACCATACCATGCCATGTCCCCTACTTTTAATCCTTTCCTAAATTTTAATATATTTTTCAACTTTAATTTTATCCACAATTTAAAGTATGGAATAATCAATCATCTTTCTTTATAATATATATTAGAAACAATATCTCCCTAAGAGAAAATAAGAAGAGTTGTACGTATTCATTATTTTGTATAATCTAAATATCATTGCAATTAATAAATTAAGAATCTATCTTTATTTTTTTAAACTAGACAAATAATATTGCAAGGAAATAAATTTTGTACTTAAACATATGAAATCTGAAGGCTAGTTTGAGGGTGAATCAAAATTGTATATATTTATAATATGAAGGATTTTGAGTTTAAAGTAAAAAAAAAGGGACTATTTTAAGTTTTTTTTTTCTCTAATAAAAAACTCCAAAACCCTCCCTGAGCCGTCAAAAGTGAACTCCGGGGAGAATTGAGCTCCGTCGATGACTTTCTTAGATGCAACAGCAGCTTATCTCTCCGGTAAACATGGATAAATCTTAGTGAGGAGAAGGAGTGCGGGCTAGGATTTCGCTTTATTCTTCAAAAGATAAGCATCTGTGCGGTTTTTACTTCTATTTTGGGGTCAGGTATGTTCGAGCTTCTGTGACTCTTCTTTGATTGACAGATTTTAGTTTTTGGTGAAGTTCAGCAATCTAAAATGTTGAGAATTATCATTATGAATAGGCCAATTTTAATTTCTAGCTATGAAAATTGCTCTGTAAGTGTAGAGTTTAGTTTAGTTTTGGGCTCTTGATTAGATCAAGTGGATTGAGCACTTGGAAGTTGGAACTACTCTTTCTATTTTTTGATAACCGTGGTGTTCGGCTTAGTTTGTGTGCATTTCAACTAATTCCATGAGATTCCTGCCACCTGCAAGAGGTAACTATGTCCACAAAGGCTAGAACAGATAGGAAAAAAGTACTATAGTTTTGTCTCTGCTGGGAATTGTGGAATTGAACCTGAGACATCATGGTGTTCAACTCACTTCATTGACTAGGCCCACACATAATCGTTGAAGATACTAACAAATATGCAACATAGTATTAGTATAAAGTATAAACTAAATGTTTCAAAGTTGAAGCCGTGACTACTCTATTTTTTATTGAAATTTATTTTAAACGTAATTAATTAACAAAAGGAGCTGTTTATACTTATTTTTCTAACATATATTTTTATATGTGTAATGTGTTAGTATGATACAATTGAAATATTTTTTGAATTGTCAAAGTCATAATATTTTATTATACGAGTATATATTAGTCGAAATTGAACAAACTATATTACCGATTTACCATACCGCTAAATATCGAAACCGAACTTAAAAATATCGAATAATTTGGTATGGTAATAATATAATAATTTTAAAAATTAAATATCAAAATTACGAGGATAACAAAGTTTTAAACACCATACCATGCCATGTCCCCTACTTTTAATCCTTTCCTAAATTTTAATATATTTTTCAACTTTAATTTTATCCACAATTTAAAGTATGGAATAATCAATCATCTTTCTTTATAATATATATTAGAAACAATATCTCCCTAAGAGAAAATAAGAAGAGTTGTACGTATTCATTATTTTGTATAATCTAAATATCATTGCAATTAATAAATTAAGAATCTATCTTTATTTTTTTAAACTAGACAAATAATATTGCAAGGAAATAAATTTTGTACTTAAACATATGAAATCTGAAGGCTAGTTTGAGGGTGAATCAAAATTGTATATATTTATAATATGAAGGATTTTGAGTTTAAAGTAAAAAAAAAGGGACTATTTTAAGTTTTTTTTTTCTCTAATAAAAAACTCCAAAACCCTCCCTGAGCCGTCAAAAGTGAACTCCGGGGAGAATTGAGCTCCGTCGATGACTTTCTTAGATGCAACAGCAGCTTATCTCTCCGGTAAACATGGATAAATCTTAGTGAGGAGAAGGAGTGCGGGCTAGGATTTCGCTTTATTCTTCAAAAGATAAGCATCTGTGCGGTTTTTACTTCTATTTTGGGGTCAGGTATGTTCGAGCTTCTGTGACTCTTCTTTGATTGACAGATTTTAGTTTTTGGTGAAGTTCAGCAATCTAAAATGTTGAGAATTATCATTATGAATAGGCCAATTTTAATTTCTAGCTATGAAAATTGCTCTGTAAGTGTAGAGTTTAGTTTAGTTTTGGGCTCTTGATTAGATCAAGTGGATTGAGCACTTGGAAGTTGGAACTACTCTTTCTATTTTTTGATAACCGTGGTGTTCGGCTTAGTTTGTGTGCATTTCAACTAATTCCATGAGATTCCTGCCACCTGCAAGAGGTAACTATGTCCACAAAGGCTAGAACAGATAGGAAAAAAGTACTATAGTTTTGTCTCTGCTGGGAATTGTGGAATTGAACCTGAGACATCATGGTGTTCAACTCACTTCATTGACTAGGCCCACACATAATCGTTCCAGAAATCACATGTTTGTGGAGAATTTGACCTTATTTGAAATATTCTAATTAACTACCCTTGTTATTATCATTTGCTTATAGCTAGAAGCCTTAGAACAGAGTTTAATGTTCAAGATACTTGACAATGCAAAGTTTTTAGGGACTAACACAGACCCGTTTATGGAATAAATTTGCATCTAATTTCAGGCAAAAAATAGAGGAAAACTAGAAAAAATGAAAGGAGAGAAGTGATTGAAATGATAATTACTGGACTAAAAAACATGAATTTCGTAGGTAAGTTGTGTGAACGTTTTAACAGATAAGCATTCATCTACATTCAGTTTTAAGGAACTAACTAAAAGAAAATAAAAAATTAAGAGGAGAATCATTTCCATGCACTCTTAATGAAGTGTTTTTCCCTATTTGGGAAGTTTGTGGGGCAGTGGGGAGGTGTAGCCTTCCATGAAGCCCATTGTACGGTTCTACAAACATGGACAACATGCACGAGCTTTCCCAGGATGATTTAGACTGAAAGACAATGTAAGTAAGCCAACAATCATAAAAACTACTGCCACTATTTAGATTTCATTGGTAGAACTGCTTCTCTAATCTCTACCAATGGAATGGATTATCCTTCTGTGAAAGATAGCTTCAAACACTTCCCCTAAAACTGTAGATCATACCAAAAGTATCAATGAGTTCTGTAACTTAGAGTAACAGCTTCCTCCCTTAGCATTTATAAATGTCGTAAATGAGGTGATGGGATAAATTGGCGTAATGAGTATAACTCATTGCAGCTCTTCTCCAAATTTAAAGAATGAGACATCAGAGCAAAAAATGATGATTTTGTTTCTCTCTTTCAAAATGATATTGAAAGGGTATTGTCGAAGTACTTACATAACAAAGTGTGTTGAGAAGCCTGTGACACATTATGCTTTTACTCTTTGGTTTGTGAACTATCTCCAGATGTGGAAGTTCAATTATCCATTATTGATAGACGATTTGCATTAAGATCTTTAGTGAACGTTATTGCTGTAATCCTTTATTCTTGAATAATAGGTGTTATGATATGCTACTAAAAGTTAAATCGTTGTGTATATCCAATGTGCTACAACTGTTGAGACATTGTGTGCCAGGATACAGTAATAGTAAATACTAAAACTGCAAAATGAATCGGCGCAGGAGCTGCTACAATTGCTCTGTAATATGTGTTATCTTTGTGCTTATATTTATGTTTATGTTCGTTATGTGTACACTCTTTTCATATTGTTATGACCTTGAAAAAGATCATCTTACAGTTTTCTCTAGAATCTGTATTCCTTTTCTCCTAACAGCTCATACGACAATCATAGGGCAGCAAACATTCTTAATTCATTATGAAAAAAGTCTTGAAAACCTCAAAAAGTAGAAGCACTTTCTGTATACATGTCGAGTAGTGGTTTGTATCTTTTTTGTATGTCTGCTAAAAGCTTCAGAATAAAGAGTCATTAATAAGTGATTTTTAATTGTCTAACTGGCCTTTGGAAATTTCAAGGTAGAATTCTAATATTCACACTCTTATTAATATATTTTCCTTTTAGGTCCTTGACTAACGACATATTTCAAACATAGTCTGTGTCATTCTCAAGTAGCTATAGAGGAATGGCTTCATCAGCAAAGACACCAGCTCTTGACAAGCCTAACCCAGCTGAAGATTGGACTGTTGTATTGCCTCGTCGTGGAAAACAAAAAAGAAATTTTCATAAAGTTATCATTCACGAACGGCAAAAACAAGAACAACTGTGGACTCCATCAGATATTGAGACCAATCCAGAGAGAGAATCTAAATTGATGCAGAAAATACAAACCTGCATTAGGAAACTCGAGAGCTCTTCCTTCTGGTTGAAATTTTTGGATCAGTTACAAACCCCTGAAATATTTGATAGGTTTCTAAAAGCTGTGGGCTCAGAAGGAAAGATGCAGATGGTAATATATGGAATGCAGAAAATACAAACCTGCATTAGGAAACTCGAGAGCTCTTCCTTCTGGTTGAAATTTTTGGATCAGTTACAAACCCCTGAAATATTTGATAGGTTTCTAAAAGCTGTGGGCTCAGAAGGAAAGATGCAGATGGTAATATATGGAATTGGTAGCATAGAATCGTATGAGCCTCCTAGATTACAGCTTAGTCTTGCAATCTTAATGAAAAGAATGTTTAGTTGGATTGGGGAGGTAGAGGTATTTGATCCAGTGATCTCTCTGGCAGAATCTAGGGTGCTGACAGCTCTCGGTTGTTCTGTCCTAACAGTCAATGAACAGGGTCGACGGCAAGCTTTAAGACCTACGATGTTCTTCATGCCACATTGTGATGCTGAACTATATGAGAATCTTCTAGAGGCAAATTGGAGGCATGATCTATTGAGTAATATGACACTGTTTGGAAACAGTTTTGAGGCGTATGAGCAACACGTGTCAGAGTGCAAAATCCTTAGACTTGCTGATTCTAGGAAGCATATCCTAGCAATCAGGCAGTTTGTAAAAGAGCTTCCCATTGATTCTAGGAAGCAAATCGTAGCATTGAGGCAGTTTGTAAAAGAGCGTTCCATTGATCCTTTTTCAGATGATGTATTTCGTGCCTTCCATGGTTCAAGTTGGCATTTTTTCGACATTGATCCACATTCAGATTTATGTGATGCTAAACCTTGAACTCTTGTTTTCTGGATTGTACTCTTTATTGGAACTGAATATCAAATTTTTATTATGATTTAGGAAAATGTTCTTTCTTCACCTTTTGTTTCCTTGGATTAATGCCTGTTGTCGAGCTCCCAGCCTTACTGATGCATGACTGTTTCTTTATGTGCATGCCTTTTAACATGCCTCTTTTATCCTTTATGAACCTTGACGTTTCCAAATGAGATACATTCACGATTTTATAAAAAGTCGGGAGTTAAACATCCTATTTGCTTTACAATCCACTAACTGCCTGTTTTCTGATGTTTCAAAAGCAATGCTTGAATCTCACACATGGAGGTGGGAGAGTTGATGCTTTGCTTCGCGTTTCCTTATGAATATCTGAAAAAGAGGTGAGTGATAGTACATATCTAGCTTATGCATCAAATGTTGTAAATTACTTGAACTAAGGGTCTATCAGAAATAACCTCTCTACCTTTTCTAGATACCACTTGTGGAATTACATTGGTATGTTGTTGTTGCGTCAAATGTTGTAAATGCTGTCATGATGAATTGAATGGTAACATCTTTTTGAAAAATAAATGCTATGGTTGCTGTAGTCAACAGACCTGTCTGGGATCAGCTGTAGGTGGGATTTGATTATTTCAATTTCATTTGAATTGTAATTTGACCTTCTATTCCATCTGGACTAGAGATGGAATATGTATTATAGAGAGTTCCTTGTACTTGTCCTTTAAGTGATTTGATTATGTAAATGTCCCAAATCCATGTCACGTATTTTGCGATTTGACCTAACAGGCCTTGCGACTTTAATCATCATCGAACACAAAAATGTGCATGTGATGTGAACTTGGGTTATCATTTAAGAAGTTTTTCTGTTTCGTCCCCCATTCTGATACAAGATTTGTCTAAGGTGTCATGTGCATTCTTACTTCAAAAGCTTGCTGTTGTAGAAGCCTACTAGTCCTTTTCTTCGATCCGTCCTCTGATACGTGTGCCACCATAAATATCTTTTACACTAGGAAAAAAGGTTAAATATACCTCTTAGCTTTGTGATTTAGAGCATATATACTCCTTGTTGAAAAGATGGTGCATATGTACCCTTGAAATGCAGAAATTGTTCATGGTGCATATGTACCCTTGAAATGCAGAAATTGTTCTTGAGGGTTAAATATACCTCTCAATATTTGGTATCAATTTTTTTATCCCAAAGCATCACATCTAGAGCTGTCAATATGGGCTAGCCCACCCCATCCGGGCTAACCCATACAAGCTTTGACATTTTACGGATCAGGCCGGGCTAGCCCATTTTTGGTGTGGGCCAGAAAACGATCGGCCCAATCCACAAGTACGTGGGCTACAGGCTTGCCGAGCCAGCCCACTTTTTTTAAAATTATATATTTTTTATAATTATTAAAATAAATTATAAATTATAATTTAAAAATATTATCATAAATATCGACAAAACAATATTACATGGTGTTAATGTTACTACTTGTTAATCAAATCCACAAATAAAATTATCTTTATAATATTTATTAAGGTTTTTCAAATAAAAGTATAAATATCTAAATAGAAATATTAACATAATT